CGGCGTCCCTATCAATTGCCAATTATTTTATCTATAGGATAAAGCGTAGCGGCTAATATAATATTTCCTACTAAGCCAAGGCCATGCAATACACTACGAAAAAATAAAACCTAGAGAGATTACCCCTAGTAACAAACATGTGTATGGGCGCGACGTTCACTGAGGCCGGATCTTGTCTGTCGGCTGACATAAGAGTTCGGTCGGCCGGGCCGAGTTCATCGCTGCCAGCCGGTCTGGTTAAATGTCTGCCGAGTTATCCAAGCTTAACTACTTGTAGTTAGCTATATTTGGAATTGAGTGATTGTCCGACACTATGCAAGAGAATCCAAGTACACAGGACACTGTACATTTATTTGGCATTCCTCATGTATACAATGCATACGTGTCGTAACTTGCCTCGAAATCGTATACTAACCGTAAAATTCAACGCTGCCATACATAATCTACGATGAGTTTGAGTGACAGCACACAGCGCAAAACCTGCTGCAGATTCTGACGTCGTCGCAGATGACCGGATCCGATTTGGAGTAGGTCGAGAATGACGGGACTGTGCACATGGCGCGTTTCGTGCCGGATACCAAGATAAATGCCATGTTCCAGCTAGCGCAAGACACCAGCGAAGTCGTCGACACAACAGTAAGTAAAATGACAGGCCAACCCATTCAACTGGCCATTGTGCACCCAGGCCAGTTCGACCAGACCGTATTTTGGCTGTACCTAACCTAGCCCAGAGAACCGTAACGGACCAAGCGACACACCATAAACGTATCGCGATGCGTCAGGCACACTAGCCGAGTATTTTTAAGTATTCAATTAATTTACACCAGACTCACGTGTGTAATATCGCGAACCTTGTAATTTGGTATTGCGGCCGTATGTAAGCCAATCTGCAAGCTAAAGCCAGCCGCAGGCCAGAGCTCGTCGCAGGCGGCCCTTGGCAGGTCCCCGAAAGGCCCCCAAAGGATCAACTGTAATTTAAAGGTCTGGTCTTCATCAAATCAATGTCAATTGACAGGTTATTCTCGCCCGCTTTGCTTACCCCCAGGACAACTCGTTCGTTGGCATCAGGGTCTTGTGCCACTATAGCATATTATATATTCACATAAAATATCATGCAATTTTTTTTATATAAACTCGACCAGACCCTTTACGTGTGTTGAACTGTGCCCGTACCGTCGAGTTCAGCTTCCTGCACCGTTAGAGCCTTGGCACCGTGCCAGCACCCCCTGGACCGTCCCTCTACGGTCCGACACACTTTACTAGTTGACATGCACTATTGACAGAAGCATTGACCAGCTGGACAGTTCCATGTCTACATGTACATATGTCCTCAGGGTGAAGTCTGGTTGGTCCGTGCTACTTAATAAACAAAGGGGAGCCCACGAATTCTCACGTCAAAAGTATAAAAGCTTGCAGATTCGTACAGTCACACCAGCATCAGCTGATGAATCGGCTTTGCCTTGCCAATCCCCGCACAACCGAAATTCGAACCATCCAGCCCAATGCATCTCCTTCGCACAGCATGGCTCCTCGCCATGACAGCCGCTGCGCGCACATCGCAGCGCATGTCAACCCACATGCTCGATAGCATTGTCGCTCGCAAACAAGGCGTCGTCGACTCGGGCGCAGCAAGCAGCACTCTTGAGAGCGGGATCCTCGCCCAAGCAATCGAAGACATCATTGCGTTATACCCAAAGACTAAATGCCAATACAACCGTTACCTCTCCTCGGTTTTAGACATTGCCTCTGCGCCTTTAACCAATGCTACCATCGCTGCCACGAAACCACTGGATCGATTCTCCCTCGCAACAGCCATCCACACCGCCCTCACATCAAAAGTCGCGCCCGTCACTGCACAATCCCAAAACGCCTACCAAGCAATCAATGCCTCCTTGGCACTACAGACTAGAAACGCCGATGGAGGGCTATGGTATTACGTCTACCCGGAATGGAGCTACCTCGACGGCATGTTCTCCCTCTTGCCATTCATGTCAACGTATGCCCCCGCGCACACAAACCTGACAGACATGGTTCTCCAAGTCAGCCTGCTCCGCGACCACTGCACCCAAAAAAACACATCCCTTCTCTTCCACGGCTACGATTACTCCCGTCGTGCCATCTGGGCAGACCCGAGAACTGGCGCAAGCCCATACGTCTGGGGGCGCTCCCTCGGCTGGTTCCTCGCATCTCTCGTCCAAACATGGGACAAGCTGTCCTGCCAGAGCGTCCAACGAGGCGAACTCCTCACGCTATGCAACCTGACCAAGGACATTACCGTCCAGCTATCCCGTTCTCTTGTCCAGTACGCTGACCCCGAAACCGGCGCGTGGTGGCAAATCGTTACGCTGCCTGGTAAAAGGGGAAACTATCTCGAGAGCTCGAGCACGGCTCTCTTTACCTTTTCCTTGCTTAAAGCGCTACGCATCGGGCTTCTTTCCGGACACCAGACGGATTATAAAAGTGCTGCGTTGAAGGCGTACGAGTATACTTTGCGCGAATTTATTACGGATACAGGCAACGGCACGATTGGGTTTAATCAGACGGTTTCTGTATGTAGCTTAAACTCGACGGCCTCGTTTGAGTATTACACCACGCGGCCGATTGTGCCGAATAGTTTATTGGGGGAGTCGGCTTTTATTTTGGCGGCGTTGGAGGTGGAGAGGTTGAGATGAATCGTGCTGCGTCGTACATAGAATCGCATGTGCTTTTGCGACTTGACATGATCAATAGTCCCTCTGAGATGCAACTCTTTCTTTCTTCTCGAGCTTACCCACGACAGAATTTCGTTTCTTTTCCGCTGCTGATGAAAGACTACATCAGCACACTAGAGAGTTCAATTTATACATAACTAAGCCGAGTGCCTGGTGTAATTGATGCACGTGGGACGACGATTGACCAACGTCGATACTTTTACCGTCATGCTTCGCCCCTACTCCCATGCTGCCCGACCCCAAGGGTCCCCGACTCCCACGGCCGCATCTCATGACTCTCAATGTCAGTCACCTCGTGGTGATGGACATGGCTCTTGCTCGCATTCTTTCCGCTCTCCACTAATGGGTTCCCATCGTGAATCTCCCTGTATGGCCCCATCGCATCGCTGTCGTTGACTTGAGGGTTGCGGGCCAACGACGACCGGTTCGTGCTGTGTTTGGTCAGGCCGGGGATGCGAAGCTTGGCCAGCAGCGGGCGCACGGCGGCCAGCGAGGCGGCCAGGATGGCCAGCCCCGTCTCGGCGTCGGCCCAGAGGAGGAGCTGGTAATGCAGGTGTTCGGCTTCATCGCCACGGGCGTGGTTGAGGCGGATAATGATGATGAGCTTGACAATGGTGGAGGCGCTGGCACTGAGCGGCGATGCCATGTTAGCTGATGGGCGGCTTCAAGAACCTTGAGCCAACATTAAAGAGAGTTGGCTCTGCTATACATGCCCAACCTGGCCAGTACACGGTGACATCAATGCAACTTACAAAATGCCCAATCCTAGCAGAAACACAACGCTCAACTTCAAGAGCAACCGCATCTTGACATTCCAAAGGATATAGATCGGTAGCAGGGCATAAAAATAGTCAATCAGGATATTGGTAGTTGTACGAAAATACCCAACAATATTGCACGTTCTGGACCCGGCGTAATTGCTGGTGCCGGCCTTGGCACAGAGGTAGGACGAGTAGATGGTCATGACGGTGGTCCAAACAACGACGACGCCCATGGATCCGATGAGAAGCCATCGCATAGCCTTTGTGGTGGCGATGCGCATGAGTACAAGCGCCACGGCGAGCTTAATAAGACCGGAATCGATGTAGATGACTAGTTGGTTGGCAAAGTAGAACTGTGTACAATTGACGGATTAGTCTGATGCCCCAGCAGTGCAAATTCTGCCACGACTTCTAACGGCACGTCTGACATGGGAGAGACATGTACAGGAAAACATGACGACGAGAGCTGCGTACCTGCTTTGCCTTTTCAGGATTATAGTATGGCTGCAGTGTCGAGTACGGTGTGTCGTCCTCGGCGGCATAGCCGTAGTGCAAGGCCGTGAAGCTCATGGCGCACAGCAGGATGTAGCCCACCTAATCACGAGGTCGGATGTCAGCACAACGTCATGTCGGAAGAATGGTGGCTCCCGAGCAAACAAGGCGGAGGTCCTGGCACTAGCTCGCCAGACTGGGGATCGTGAAACCTCACATACATAGGTCAAACACAGCATCGCATCGTCGGCGCCAAACGATTCTGTTATGCGCAGCCGCGAGTACACGCGGGCCGCCACGGCAACGGTGTTGGCGATGAGGAGGATGACGGTGCAGGCGACTATGCTGTCGCGGTATTGAGCCATTTTTGTCTCCTGCCTCGTGTGGGACGAAGGGGATATTCTGAGCTGCCTGTCAGGCTGTTTTATGGCGTGTTGGTCTAGGCTCAGGCTCTGCGCTCGACTGTCATCTCGACAGAAAAGACTGGAGATGCAAAGTTTAAAAGAGAGGGTTTTTGCAGGATCGGACGACCATCAAGTGGGAGAGTGGCCATGCAATGCAAAGGCGGCACACTCTTCCAATTTTACGGCCGGTGAAGATCTGATGAAGAGACCAGCGCTCGATGCAAATCAGCATCACTGTGAGCCGTCCTTGGAACCGTTCAGGTCATGTCTGGTAGATGCCACCGCAGAATGGTCTACAACAAGGTCGCATTTCCGGCAAGGCAATGCAGGAGGCATCGAGCCTTCTTCCTCCAGCAACAGTGGCAAATAGCAGACAGCATACATATGTATCGAAAGAGCTGAACGGTCGGCAAAGCAATTGGGCTGGGGCTGAACACAAGCAAAGTCGGTGGTGGTACAGAGTACGTAACACCAATCCTTTCCATGCTACCAGCCAAGTCCAATAATGGATGCTGGTTTTCGTGGGCGCTGGCATGCGCCGCGCCACTGTCATAATAAGCCCACCAGGATGCGAATTCTACTCTTGCAGTCTGGACGCCTTAGCCCCGCAATGCCCGGATTTGGCCTAGTCCAGCGCGGGACGAAGCGAGGGTGGGTAAGACGGAGAGTTTTGGAACATTCTGCCCGTTCGCTTAGGTCCGGCTTCCGGGGGTACAATATATCCGTCATGTTGACTTTGGCTGGTTCTCCTCCGCTCCAAGAACTGTCCGGGGATTATAATCCACCCTGCCTCTCTGGACTCCATTTTCCACCGTGGCCTACATATAACTACACCAAGTGTCGAGGGTGCACAAGCAACTAACTTAAAGATTCCTACTAGTATATAAATACTTGATTAATAATAAGAGTTTTAATAGACTAAAAAATAATATAATTACTGCTTATTTGTCCGTCCTGTAGGATACCAACCAAGGCTTCACGGTGTCTGGTCTCGCCACCAGCAACGACAGCGCTGCGCAAGGCCAGCCGAGACTGTGGTTTGAAAGCTTCGAGCTGAGAACAATCAAGGCCGAATCGCCGGAGCCTGCAACCTTGCCAAATCCGCGATAGTAGCACATGACGGTCAGTTACAAATATGAGATGACAACAATGACTTCCCAGAAGCTCGACGAGTATCTCGGGGCTCTGCATCCATCATGGCCCGAACGCGCTGGCTTTCGTCGGGACGTGGAACCGTATTATGGCTTCGCCGAGACGTGTTGCAAGCCAATTCAACCTGAATTAGATTCACGGCGGTACAGGCGGAGGCACGCGAAACACTCAAGTCTGGCGGCAGGTTGATGATGCATGAGATATTTGAGCCTACTGGATGGACTGTTGGCTTGGTGGGTCGGAGTTGACGGACAAGACGGACTCAACCGCATCTTGGGCCCAAGTATCACTCTCGAGCAATGGAACTTTCTCTTCCAGGCGGCTGTTTTTGATGGTTATGATACCTGCCTATGCGATGAGAACTCACTCTTGACTGATCAGAATAGTGGCTGGATTGTGGCATCCAGACAGAAGGGCGAAAGCCTTGTCGTATAACAGTCAGCAGTTGATGGGCCGACGAAGCAGGGCCCGATTATTGTTGACCCTCAATGCGAGAAGCAGAAGGATTTGGCCCCCAAGACGCGAGAAAAATTCTTGAGGGGCTTATAGGGTAACCTCATGATGTTCTGGATCTGACTGCCGCAGCCGCTGTTCTCTCCGAGGGCAACTTATCCAATGATGCAGTGACAATTTCCTTGCTCGGCTATAATCCCTCTTTCCTGAGGTCCAACATGAGCGAAGTCTTGTGGCCACGGTTGCAAACTCTGGTGGTACTGGCCCGCTGCCAGCTCTGGGTCTCAATAGGAGGTAGCGTCATGCCACATCCCGATACAGCCATGATGGAGGGTTTCGCGCGGACACTCCGATCCAAGCAATACGGCTTGCACCTCTTCACCTTGTCCCTTGAAACCCCGGAGAGCATGGACTGGTTGACTAAGATCATTCAACAAATCGTGGACTTGAACTCGACCACATCTGGTGGGCCACGCCAGTATGAACAGGAGTACGTTGAGATGGACGCTATACTGCACACCTGATGACTTGCCGAAGGCAGGAGTCTGAAGGCGATGGTGAATAACCTTGTAGTTCTTAATGAACTATCAACAGATGTCCTGTGGCGGCAACCCCCCTTGACCGTAGCAATTTTCAGCGAAGAGCTAAGAGACACTCGGCAGTACGTTGAGGCTGTGAATATACAAAGCGTATACCCAAGAAAGGGTGATGGTGGAGAGGGTACGAATGTAAGCGATGGGCAGGAAGACGAAGAGTTGACCATCATGGTGCGTGAGATGGTACTTGACTCTGCAGACGCTGCCGTCTCCTCGAGTAATTTGTCCAGCCGAGAAGGAGAGAATACTTAGCAAGGCTTGGGCACATTCTGTGCTGGAGTGGTGACGGACATGAGCGCAAACCCCTCGTCGTCATTCAGCTTGGGCGACCGTGTCTGCGTAAGTCAACCGGGAGTTTACCAGTCTCAGTTGAAGGCTCTTTCGGAATTTTGGGTCACAGTCACCGACAAAATAGAAAGCGATTGGATCTGTGGCGTGCTCGGTGTGCCTCGGGAGCGCATCATCCCCAAGATCTGGTTCAGCAAGCGGGCCATGCTGGTGTCTCATATGGCGAGAAGATTTGACCTGGTTATACAAGCAGACTTCCTGGGCCTAAATAGTTGCTGTGTAGAGTTATTAAAGATTCCAGTCGGTACATTACTTTCGGCGTATCTTCCAGCTCAAGTTTATCGCTTGGAACATCTCGCTCGACCATCGGCGCTACACACCCCAACATACGATTCTCTACGGTGTATATGGATCAGCTATCGAATGACGAAGCCGTCAAAGTAGAGACAATTCCAAAGTCAGCGATGAGTCCTTCCATGGAAGTCCTATCGTCATTGTCGACCCAGAAGAAATTCTCTTCGCCTTCCCAGTCCCATGTCACCTACTTCCCTGCATCAGATCTGCGCGGCATCTTCGATCACCTGCATCGTCTGAAGAAAACGGAACATCTTCATGTGAAGTTTGACAATATGGATACTGTGCAGGTAAGCTCTCATCACAATAGTCTTTCCAATCTCCCGGTTAACACAAGACCAACGTCCATTTATACGTCAGGCCACCCCAGATTTGGATTCCACAGGCACTTTCCTCATCGCTGGCGGCTTGGGTGGTTTGGGACGGGCTATAGCCCGCTGGATGGTCAGTCGGGAGCGAGATCCCTTATCCTGCTTTCCCGCTCCGGTCCGAAAAACAACCCGAATGCTCTTGTCCTTCTTGACGAGCTCAGAGCTCGGCAAATCAAATTTCAAAACCCTCGGTGCGATGCGACCAACAGGGAGAAGCTTTTACAAAAGATAGCAAGGCAACAGGCATTGGCATACAAATAGTACCACGCAGCTAACGTCAATGGGTTTTTGCACGTGGCTAGCTGTAGTGAACTCAGCTTTGTTCTCAATAACGTTTAGCTCAGCTAAAATACAAAGGGGGCTGGAGTTAAACTCTCGATAAAAGAGCACTGCCGCAAGGAAGGGTCTTGGGACACAGCAACTCCTATATTTTTCCTTTATTTCTCTTTCCTCCCCAATTTCTAGAGATAGCAGATGTTCTTACGGGATACTTGAATTCTCCGGAGATCAGTTTTCAATGAGCCGACTGCAGCAAGTTCTCTAGGCCGCACTGCTCGCCTAGAATTTGCGGCGTCCCGAAACCCAGATCGTCCCACGCCAGCACCGAGAACATATCCAAAAGCCGCCATGAATGCATTGCTAGGGTCCTTGACGATATCGTATACAGTCATGCCCGCATCCCCTGCCGCACCTATTAGGCGTAGCATAGATCGAGCGGCTGTCAAACCAGCCGAGCCGGCCGCCGAGCCGGCCGCCTCCCCAACGACGGGGATAAAGAATAATATTCCCATCACCATGTTCAGAATGAACTCTTCTTTCTGCTTCTTCTCAATTTCCTCAGCCTTGTCAATAATGCTTTTCATATTTTCGACTGCTGCCTGCAGGGTAAGTGCTGGCAGCGACGCCGCGTCCACGACGTCTGACCACAGCATCAAAGTGTCGTAGATATTCAGGTCCTTGATAATGTCCAAATTCTCGGCCAGGCTTGCAATGGTGTCTGTGGAGTCACCGAAAATCTTCTTTGGGTTGTATACCTTGATCTTGTCGTCAGCGGCGATCGGGTAGTTGTACCACCAACGGTCATTCTGGTTTTGGCATTCATGAATGGCTTTGCCAGCGTACTGGCAGCCGTTAGCTGTCCTCATATGTCTTCTTCCAAATGCCACCCAAGCCTCTTCAATACCATATTGGCTCCCGATTTCTTTCCAAAACCCCTCCTCGTCCTCAAGGCGGAACGTGGCGTTAGGAGTGGTTTCCATAGAAATCATTTCGAGCTCATCCTTCTGCTGTGGACATTTAATATCTAGCGTTTGATATCCGCTCTTGCAGCCGGCAAAATTGGCGCAAGTCTCGAGACATGTAGCATATGTACAGTCACTGCAACAGATAACCTTCTTATACTCTGAGCATTTAAAGTATTGATGTACTTTGTCGCTCGCCATAAAGTTATTAATCTGCACAGGGACTTGCTGTTTTACAAACCGTTCATAGGTTTTGAATTTGCTGTCGTAATCATCTTGCAGAAGCTCGAGGTGCTTTGTCAAGGCTTCCTTAATCATAGCCGACTCTGCTTGAGCAATGTACTTCTCTGTGCAGTGGGTGGGCATCGTAGTTAGATGTTTTTCAACATCGCCCAACGTGCTGTATTTACCACTACAGTCCGAATAAAAATCAGGATCAATGTATGGCTCATATTCGTCCTCAAAATCGTCGTCAGGAATACCGTCGCCACTGATGGTGCAGTGTTAGATCGGTTGGAGATTCAAATATAATTCCGAGAACATGAAAGAATCCACAGAAGTTTAGGGCAGAACGACTCACGGTAAAAACTTCTGCAGGTCAACAGCCCAGTCCGTCGTTCCAGCAAAGTTATTCATGAGATAAAACTGAGTTCGAATATCCTTAAGTTTGTCGTCCATGTACGCCACCCACTCAGTGTCGTCGTAGACCAGAATATTAGAGCCAGCTTCTCGCCACTGCTTGGTGACCTTGCCACTGGCAAGGATTTCTTCAATCTCTGCATTGGCTATGTATCCGGACGTGTCTGTACAACGGCCCTTGGCAGCGTGAGATATGCGGGGGGTTCCAGTAAATTTGCAAAGTGGCCCGTAACAGCCAGCTTCAGCCATCTTGAAAGAGCGCCCATAGCTGGCGACGCCCACCACGACCTTGTTAGATGGAACGCCAGCCTTAGTGATCATGACAAGGGCATCCTTAGTTTCAGTCATATTAACGTGGGATCTCAGACAATTACCTGTTGGGCAGCCAGGAGATGTCCACTTGTTGCCATAATCCCACTGCCCGTGGAGATCGTATGTCATGAAAACAATGTAATCAAGTGACATGGCCATGAGTGAGATAGGAAACGCCTTTAGATACCAATATGATGATGGAGCTGCAAAGGAGACAGACTTAGCATTAGATAGTCTATATTTTAATTCGTCAACGAGTTTAAAATAGTTCAAGCCGTTTTGATGGTCATCAGCTGGGATATCAGGAATATCGGGAGCCTATATGCTTATATATATACGTGTTAGCTATAGCTCCTCAAGTAGTATGTATTCAATCACGACCGTGTCAAGGCTCAAATACTTGCCCCAGGATACTCCCAGTCAAGGTCCACTCCGTCAAGATCATGCTGGATCAGGAAATCCACAATATTCGTGATAAATTTGTCGCGGTTCCTTGGCTGGACAGCTTCGCGAAGGATATTATACGTCCCCGGCAAGGCGCTGAAGTCCCAGCCTCCAAGTGAGATGATCCTTTTAACACCCACCATAGCTTTAAGCTTGTAAAACTGGGTCTGAACTTTGCTGATATCGATTCTGAAGTCTTTCGTCACTTCACCGAAGGCGAAGTGGATATGAGAGTATTTCGTGGTATCAATATCGTCAATATCCATCCATAAACAGGACCGTTTATGATTCCACGCTTCAAAATACGCAATTTTGATAACACTCGGAGGGGGCGAACTTCTAATAATAGCTCTTCCGCAATTGCTAATGCCTACAAATGTCGTCAATATGTAGGTCATGTTGAAGGGAAATAAAAATTCCACTGGTCAGTCTCCTACTCACATCCGTTCCTGACGCCAGAAGTTCCTGGGGCACCAGTCTCAGATTTGGATTCAATGCAAAAGTCGTCTGAAAGCCCGCACTGACCCCAAACATTACAACAAGCTTTGAGAGGACAGGGGTTAAGCCTCGACAAGTCGAAGCCTTTAGCTGGCGCCTTTGTACCGGGAACTGTTGGACCGCAGACGGCATTAGATACCGGTTCCGGCATGGGCGGTTTCCCTTCACTAACGCAGAGTCTGAAGCCAACCCAGAGCACTTTGCAACCATTCCAGCCCCAGGTGTCCTCGTTGAAACTTTCAATATCCCTAACCGTAAGGTCCCGAGAAGCGGCTATGCTGGCACAACTGTCGCCTCGATTCGTCTTGACAGAAGCGCAAGTCCCGTCCGACTCGGGTTTTGGACGCCGGTCTTGCAGCTTCCCGCGCGAGCAACAGACTTGCTGGCCTTCAGCTAGGGTAGAGCATAGATCCTCTTTAGTATTCAACCTCATAAAGTCGCTTGCACTAAGGCCACATTTTGAGGCTAGAGAGCCGCAGCTATCGCCGCTCTTGACTTCCTTGGTTACACATGTGCCGTCGGACTTGGAATCAGGAATGCTTGAAGGGAGGATGCCCCGAGTACAGCAAGCTTTTTCACCAACGACCAAAGTATCGCAGAAATTTGCACGGCGATTATATTTGGTCAGGTCGGACTGGCTAACTCCGCATATCTTGGCCAAAGCCCAGCAACCGTCTCCGCTCCTGACGGTGAGCGTTTTGCAATGGACCCGAGCAAGATCCTGCCAGAAAGACCTAGAGCCGAGACGTGAACCAGTCATGTTTGAAGAGGCCGTCGTATTGGTTGGCCTCACAATAGAGGGCACACGGATTGTAACTTCCTTCCAATCTCGCCCCCCGTCCGGACCGACGCATTTGCCGCTTGCCCACCGGCGGACGGCTTCCTGAGCAAACTTCAAGTTGTTTGCGTTAGTTGCAACTAATCCAAATGAATAATCTGCCCCAAGGCCATGTTCCTGACACAGTTGAAGAACTGTGGTCTGGGAAATGGACCTTTCCGTCGCATATGAGAGGAGGCTGTTGATAATGTCGATGGCCAGTCCATGCTGGTGAACCTCAGCGCCAGCAAAGACGCCAACGACAGAAGTTTGGCTATAGCCGAATGCTAAGGCATTTTTCGAACAAGAAGGTTTCTGAGAAGCCAAGTAATGCATAACCTGACGACTTGCTGACACCAGATGTTGAGTTGCAAACGTGTCATTGTTCTGAGTGGGAGTCGAGACTTCCAACAAGCGGATAGAAGTCTTCACCATTTCGTGGTTAGGTGTAGAGCAAAGGGCTGCATTTCCATCATCAGGACTATGAATTTTGGAAAGTTGATAATTGGAGCCATAATCAGCCGTGCATGCCCTGAGGGCTGGTGGATCGTCACTTTTGACGACGAGATCCAGCAGCAATGTCTTGTTACATTGAGCGAAACTGGTAGCATCGGGTACCAAAAACCATCCACCTCCATTAATGCTATCTGGTGCCTCGCTGCAGGGCAGCGGACACGGTTTGAGCATAGAAGGGGGAGTTCTGATGTTTGCTGCCAGCCATTCTTCGAGTTCCTTGTTGCCTTCTGTGTCTAGCGTTTCTAATGCGCCTGCTGAGCTCGTCCGCACCACGGTGGGAGGGCCTCCTTGTAGCGTGGCTGCGGCCTGTAGGAAGAAAAGTACATGAGGTATAGCAACCTGATAGACCGATGCTTTCATTTTATTGGAGGGGGTAGGGAATGGCCAAATCCCCCTTTGCCGTGAATGAGATGCCTTTACCACTGAGAGTGAGAGAGAAAGTGTGGGACGAGAATAGAACGGCCAACTGAAGAGGAAGAAATGGATAGACTTAATGTTGTCTAAGTGAGACAAAAAGCCATATGCGTGATAAAAGGCCCGGGGCAGGGTGGCGATCAACTC